TGCTTGGGGGCGAAAGAGAGACTGTCATTTATTTCGCGAACCCGATGGTGGATTTAAATAAAACTGCAGTCCAGGAAGTTAAACTGGTTTGGGAGAAAAGGCACCACAAATGGAAAAGGAGCAGCTGACAACCCCAAGACGCGAAAGAATGCCTGTCGGCAGGTGCCTGGTTGTAGGCGACCAAGGTTGAAGTGATGGAGAACTAGTATCGGGGAAGTGTGTTCTCCACCGTTACCCTTTTCTCTGAATGGCTGGTATACTCCTCTCGTGGGAACACCACCCTCCATTAGCCCAGGCAGTCTGTTCCCCAGTGCACTGCTCCCCAGGGCAGGGGCAGAGGGAGGAGTGGTAGTTTTGAAGCTGAGATATTGGCACGCGAGAACAGAAAACTGTAGAGGCCCGGTGGCCTCCCCTCCAGTGGGCGATCCCCGCGGGATCTACCTTCCACCCCAAGCTCGGAGACTGAGCCCAGGCGCCCCCGGAGGAGGAGCAGCACTGCGGTGCGGCGAAGGACCTCGGGCGCTGGAAGCGTGGGCGCAATGCGGTCAGCGCTCTCCCCCAGCAAGATTCCCACCTCCCTCCCCGAGCCCGCTCCTCTGCGGCCTCCGAGAGTTGGCGCTGCAGGGTTTTGAGGCCCGTGCTCGAGATCCTCAGCTGGCCAGGCTAGAGCGCACTCACCTGTACTGGTCGTACTTGGCATACACTGACCACTCGGCGGGGTCGCTCTCGTAGGCTTCCATGACTGCCTGCACCTCCTCCACATTGACCTCTTCCCTGGCGAAGAGCTGGTGCAGGATGCGGATCAGATCGGCTAGTGTCCGTGGCTTTAGCACCTCGGTTTGCTCCATCCTTTGCAGAAGTGGCAGCACGCCTTTCTCACTGCTGGGCTTCGGCGAAGGAGCCGAGAAAGCCTAGGAAATGGGGACGATGGACCCTAGCTGCCAGCCACACAGCTACACACACAAAACCCCCAACGTTTGAGAGCCACAGCTTTAAAATCCCTGGCCAAGATACCAAGACACCCTCCCAACCAGGGCGGCGCAGAGAATGCGGGATCGCAAAGCTCTTAAACACAAATCAGGACCAAATCTGCTGAATTTAGCCTCCTGGGCCCTTTTTAAGCTCTCGGAGCAGCGGGAATGTACCAAAGGCCCTCGGAGGGTGGGGAGAGGCGCAACTTGAGGACGGTGGTGGAAGCTAAGGAGCGTGTGGGTAAGGTCCTCCAAGCGTTTTAGCCTTACCGGAAGCCCCTCCCTCCCAAATCCCCGCACTCGCACTGGGCAGCACGTAATTTCTCCCCCACCTTAACTGGGCCTGGGCGCACTTTGGCCGCCCATCCCCACCCACCCCTCTCCCTGCACCCTTCCTTACCTTCTCCTGCCACCTCGCCCTGAGGCTTCTTTTGGCCTCAGGGGTTCCCAACCAAGGATGCAAAGCACCAGAGTTCTGGAGAAGACTGCTGGGGGTGAATGTTGAGGAAGGGGATCCTTCCTTTCAGAGAACTGGGAAATTGCATAGACCTTGAGAAGGCTAAGGACAGATTATACTCCCAAAACAGATATCTGTTTTTGTGGATTGAAACTATAGATAACATACTTCAGACTAGGTGAAATAACTGTGCTTTCCTTTAAATTTTTAAAAACTTTTTAATTTATTGGGGTGATATTGGTTGATACAATTATATAGGTTTCAGATATACAATTATATCATACATTATCTATATGTTGTATTGTGTGCTGTACTGAAAGTACATTTGACAAAGGAGACTCGACTGTGGAGCAAGACTAGAAAATGGGAGGTGGCCAGGTATACCTCTTTGATTTTAAAATCAAACATAAAAAAAATGTTTAGTGCAAAGACTTAGTGTTTCAATTCATAGTGAATAGAAGTACTCTGTGTGTGTGTGTTTTCTCCCAATGCAGTAATTTAAAGTGTTCTAGTGAGACTATATCAATCTTTCATTTCTAGGAATGTGCTTGAAGGAGCCTCCTGGTAATACCTATATGGAAACACATTTTTATGTTGTGCACAGCACTTTCATGCTTGAGAACAAGATTAAAAAATGTGAGGGACAGAAAAAACGCAAGTACAGATTCCTTCTTTCTCATTAATGGGCTCAGGGAATAATTTGGATTCAAGGTTATAAAAGGTCTAGACTTCTGGAAGACTTTTTCCTAGACTTCACTTGAATGTATATACAGGGGTGGGCAAAAGTAGGTTTACGGTTGTGAATACACAAAAGTTTATTCTTGTATTATTAGTATTGTTCTGTTTTGTATCATTATTTATGACTTATCTTTTAGGCAATGATAGCTGGTAACTTAACCTACTTTTGCCCACCCCTTTTATGTACATATAATGTAAACTTACTTGTACTAAGTGTCCTTTGGAAATACAAATGACAGTTCAATCACCATTGTTCAGAAAGGGCTTTGGTTAGGAAGCATGCCAGAAGCCAACCTTTTATGTGTGTTGCAAGGAGAGGCTCTAGTAACATAAGTGGAATACCTAGATCCAGAGAGGTAGTAGTTCCACTGCACTCTGAATTGTCCAGGGCAATGATTTACACATTTGAACAGTCATTGATATGGAGTAACTAGAGAAGGGAACCAGAATTATCAGAGGTCTGGAAATATACATCTAATGATCCATTTGACACATTTAAGAAATCATGTACTACATGCCTGGCACTGCTCACACCACCAAGTCTCTGCCCTCAGAGGGCTTATGTTCTAATGGAGGGGAAGAGCAGACATGTAGTGTCCAATACATGGTGAATTGGACACACAAATACTGTACACAGCTTACAATGGAGGAAAACTAAAGCAGGGGGAAAGAAGGTTGAGGGTGGTATATTTTAGAGGGAGTTCAGGGGAACATTCTTGATGTGAAATTTGGGCAGGGACTGAAGGATGTTAGTGAGACATGTGGTTTTCTGGGGGAAGCTTCCAAGTGGAGGAAACAGTAAATGCAAAAGCCCTAAGATGGGAACAAACTTAGTTTTTGAATATTAACACAGATGAACACGGATATGCAAAAATGGGGACTACAGAACACCTTGTAAGGTCTTCAGCTTTTGTTGATATAGAAAGCCATCTCATCACATAGGCAGAGTATCATCTCACATCTTCATGATGAAAAGACAAACACCATTCACATCACTTTTATCGCAGCATACTGTCAAAAAAACCAGCATCTATATGGTTTGGTACTATCCAGGGTTTTAGGAATCCGTTGGAGCTCATGGGTAAGTGGGGACTCTTGTACACAAATTGCCCTTTAGTGTTGCTTTTCCAAGTTAAACCATACTTTGAAAGCCACGCTTCATTTCATTCACTCAATATATAATGAATTATTGATTGGGTACGCATAAGGAAACATACTAAGTATTATGTGTATGGGTACCAAATAAAAAACCAAAAAAGTCCTATTTTTAGGTACATACGTATATACAATCATGGAAGGGTGTTGACACAATGCTTAAATGCAGTATGCAGCAGTGCTGTAATAGTGGTAGTTCACTATAACTGTTTTTATGAGGTACAGAGTATCTCCCCTTTAACTGATTCAGACAGCTTTAGGGAAGTTAAAATCTGAATTAGGTCGAGGCAGGATTTGAAAGGGTGAGGGTAAGTGCACTTCTGTAATGGAAACATATGAGCAGATGTAAGAAACAGAAAAAAGGCGGCAGGTTCAGGGAATAGTGTGGGTTGAATAATGTAGGGTAACAGTACTTTCAACTTTTGCAGCAGTACAGAAACCTGCTGCACTGCTTTCTGAATACTTTTTCTTCCATTATGTGGTCTGTAGCTGACTTCCCTGGTGCCAGAAGCTTACCCAGTATATTATTGTCCTTGGAAAATGAGGTAAAAGATGCATGAAAGGTGATTTTCATACCCCTTGAACACTGCACTGTCCTATTTTGGGTTATATACAACTGGCTGCTGTATGATGAAAGGCACAGTCTGCACTTCTTTGTTTTCTAGTGTGATTAGAGTAGATGATATTTAAGGTGCCTTCAGCATTAGAAAGTCTAGACAATTAGATTCTATGAAGTATCCAATCTTATTTAGCTTACCATATATTCTAAGTGTGAGAAACTCATAATGAAGTCTTTGGTGTAGATACCTTCAAAGATGGAAGTACAATATTCTAGTAATTATATACACTCTGTATACTGTAGGTCATCTTTGCACAGTAATGTAAAGCATGACTTAACTGACATCAATTTTCTCATAAACATGGAAAACAAAATATGACCTGAGGGTTCAGTTCTCCCTAGCTCCAAGTTCAATTGCAGTTAACCGTTTAAACCAGACAACTACGAAAATATTTGTGAATTGTGTATAAGGTTCTAGTCACCAAATAACTTAATAGGATCTAGGCTTACAAGTAGATGTTGCAAAGTTACATAAAGTGATCAACTCTTTGGGTAAAGATTAAGAGGTAATAGTATAAATATGATTTATAATAGTGTAAAGCCCTATACTATGTTCTTCAAGGTCATTAGGGAAAAAAAACAAGCAAGGTATATACGTATTTAACTAACCTTAGATTTAATCAATTACTAAGTTCTTTAGATCAAAAATGAACAATTGATGTCACAAATTCAAAATGGAGTTTTGCTTATTGAGGTAGTAAATATTCCACAACTGAAACCTTAGTAATAAATATAAAGTAAATAATTTTTGCTATTTGTTAACTATATATGCATAAAAATATGTTTACATCTTTCAATAAACTCTAAGTGGATGAAGCTAGAGAACAGCTCTTTTCCACATCCAACATACGTGACTTGAAAATACACTTTCTGGTTTTCAACATATATACAAATTTCTGACCCAGTTTTTACAAGATAAATTTGGAAAATTTAACCTGTATTATTCCACTGGTAACTACTAGCTGTATTAAGTTATTACACAGGAACATTGGTATAAGGGGACTTAAGAAGGACAGAAAATAAGAAATGAACAGTGATTCGATCACTGTAAACTCAATTGTTCCTTAGTATCCTTTAATGCTAGTATATGGCAGATCATTAACCATAAAGTACATTCTAGGATTTAAGGGACATAAGCATAGTTCAAAGTTCTTTGACAAAACCATACCATGCCCATTGACTTTGAAAATAAACACTTAGGATTCTTGCACATACTTTAGACCTGTTTGGATGTTCCATTCAATTTACTGAAATACTTTTTTTTGGCTTCATGTCTAATTTTTATTCTGGAATGTACAGCTGTTTTTAATTATAGTTGACATACAATATTATATTAGTTTCAGGTGTATCACATAGTGAGTTTTCACACCCTACAAAAGTGATCACAGAAGTGCACTATCCATGTGTCACCAGATAAAGTTATTGTGACATTGTTGACTGCATTCCCTATGCTGTACTTTACACCCCCGTGACTTATCTCTAAGTTTGTACCTCTTACTCCCCTTCACCATCTCTGGCCATACCCTTGCCACCCCACCCTCTGGCAACTATCAGTTATTCTGTATCTATGAGTCTGTTTTTTTTGCTAATTTTTTTAGTTTTTCAGGTTCCACACATCAGTGAAATACTTTTTAAATACTGCATTACAAATTTAGTACAGAATAGAGAAAAGTGTTAAATCTTACTTCAAGCAATAACCAGTCTAACAGCATTAGAAAAAAGGTACTTTTAGTTATGCCATGAAATACACATAAAAACTAGGTTTTTTCCAGTTATTCTGAGCATTTTCAAATTGAAAAAATTCATTATAAAAAAATTCAAGAATGCTGTCACCTTCACATGAGCACTTCTGACACTAAGAATAAGAGACAGAATATCACTACAGCTATAACCATCGGGATTCAAGAATCATCAAATGACTGGACTGAAATTTGTCCAAAATTTGTAAAATTCCTGTTTCCGAACAAAATAATTAAATCTAAATGATGCATATTCTTTAAAACAGTCTTCCAGTGTGTCAATATATACGTTGTCTTGTCTAGATGTTTGCTAGAAATGAGCAGGAACAGTTTTTTTCCTCCATTATCATCTGGCAAAGATGTAAAACCAAACTGCTTCTTTCTGCCAGCTGGGCTGCCCTCTACTGGATCATGTAAGGTATAAAATCAGCAGGACAGTAAGATTTTGTTTCATAATACTGTATAGGTATAAATATAAATGAGAACAGGCATATCCCATACATTGAACAAACTGAGCTTCCCAGAGTAAGCACAAAAAGAATCCTTTAGTAAACAAAACTGACTTTTACAGTGGAAAAACAATCAGCAGAGTGTTAATTCTACAAGTAAACAATTTTAAGAACTGGTGACAAAGAGGCTTTTACAATCTTAGTCTCCTTATCAATTATCACGGAGGCATATATGGAGCAATAGTTGTAGTGCTGGGTATACTCTCATGTCAATCTTTTATCATGATTTCTGTAATGCAAATTACATTTGCATTGTGAGTCTATCTACTCTATGGATAACATGCATAAACATGGGTCATAGCAGATAACATGCTCAGTAGATCATATTCACAAGTATCTTGCCAAAAGTGTCCAACTTTTCAGAGCTGTTTCCTTTGTGAAGATTCATTTTAGTTATGAAGATCTTTTCTGTAGTTCATCCCCATGCCTGAGATTTGCAGTAGTGTAGGACCAGTTTACCATCACTGCCAAAACACTAAAAAAGAAAACAAGGCAGTAAGTTAAACTTAGTTTCACCTAAGAATGACAAAAATTAAGAAATGTTATATTTATCATAAATATCCTCATACAATGTACATGTAAGTTATCTATAAAGCTATTTCTGTCAAGAGATGCAAGTTGCTACTGGACATATATTAGTAATCACAATGTTTATTAATAAAACCTCTCCTTTAAACATCACAGGCATGGATGATAGGCTTACATATTTAATCTTGTCCCTTCTTTACACCTCTAACTGTAATGTATATACTGTTTTGAACTAGTGGTGTTAATGTGTATATGTACTATAATTATTATTGCCATGAAACTTAAGAATGTTAAGTGAAGTCATTCTTATGTAGTCTCCTTTTAAATTTCTTAGAGGCAAATCTGGATTACTGATTAATATAAACAATGTAGGAGAAACAAATTAGGTAAAAAAGAAGACCTTACTTTCTGGGCATACTTCAAAGTCATCCTTTATTTGTATTATTCATTCCTTAATTCTTTAATCAGTGCATAATTTACTGAGATCCAGCTATGTTTAAGGTGTAAGAGAAGTAACAGAAAACAAGAGTAATCTTTTTCCCCTGGAGGCAATTAAGAATAGCATCTCTTAAAATAATGATATGATTAATAATCATACTATTCACAGATGTACATCTTGCATTAAGAAAATGAAGTAGTTATGTTTTACCTCATAGAGGGTTCCAACTTCCTGGTCAGGGGAAGGGGCAAAGGACTGATTCACATAAATAAACTGCAAGAAAAAAATATGGTGATTAATTTTTAATGGTATCATGATTAATTTGTACTTTTCTGGGGTCTAATCAGCCAGTTATTTCAAATTCTTTGTCTTCAGAATTGAAGAAAGCTTCCCTAAATTCCTTTTTCTACTTCTCATAAATTAGTCACCTAATGAGATGTTTATGAAGATCACAATCTTCCTGGAGGAAAAACAATAGAATATTTTCTCCTAGAACAGTGGTTCCCTCTTATTATAACTAAAACCTTTTACATGTTTTTACAAATAGCTTGAAGGTTTATTCAATAAATTATTAAAAGTATTAATTTTCCCAATCAGTCATTAATTAAGGACACAATTTTTCCTAACAAAATTTCACAGACATAGCTGAAAATCAGATCTAGTATTTGAGATAGCCTGTACATTTTTCTTGGGTAAATAACATACATAGTTGGATTTTTTTTTTTTTTACTTTTACCACCATTGAAAACTCTTAAAGGTATTGAACTCCAGGCTAGGTGTACTATTGTAAACTCATTTGTAGTTAAAAAGGACTGCAATATAACTGAAACCTAATGTCCTTATAACCTTGTTCTTTAAAGGATTCATTGTTCAATGTTTCAGTTTAGTCTTGTTTTTACTAAAACATTCTAATAAAGGTATTCTCCGCTTTTCGAAAGTTCATGTTATGAAAGACCTACATTAGTCCCAGTTTTCACTAACTGAAGAAATCTGAAGAGGATTTTCACTTTTACAAAGAAAGCAAAAATAGCATTCAGCATACGTGTTGCAGTGAGCTATTACAGAAACAGTAAGACTGGCTCTGCCCAGCTTGTTCATGGGAACTACACTCAGCATCTCAGCATAAGCCACCAAAGCTTTGGACTGTGTCTATGAGCATCTGAGCATTAATTAACAAGCTGTCTCCTAAGATACCACAAAGCCTAAGGAAGCTTGTAAGGTGTTATGCTTAGCATAAAATCAGATATAATTAAGTGTATTTAATATGATTTGGCAGGTTATTTTGTGGAGCCTGGGTATGCTAAAAATTTTTCTGTATAAATTAATAGTAATTGCTTATTTGCTTCATGCCATTTTGGCTTAGGAAAGGTTCTATAGGAATGCTCTTATTTCAGATAGTGGGGGAAACCTGTCCTTAAAAAATTCCTGAAGATACTGAAACAAAAGGCCACAGTGTCAAAGTAGCTTTTGATAATTTTCTTTTTAGAAAACAAAACATTACTTGCAGGTACCACATTCAATTTTCCTTTGTCCACAGTCAAATTCTAAGACTAAAATTTCCTGGGCTTACCATATTCTTTAAAACCCAACAATATCAGAATAAGTAGATGGTTGACAGACACTATTTGGGTCACCAGCAATAACAAATATTATTTACATTTCTACCTTAGATGATACAGTGTGGTAATTAAGAACAGAGGCTCTATTGAGGCAGATCTAGGTTTGAATTATGGCTCTAAATGGAGTTAACTTTTCTCAGAGCATTTCCTTATTTTTTTTTAAAGATTTTATTTACTTATTTTTAGAGAGGGAAGGGAGGGAGATAGAGAGAAAGAGAGAGAGAGAAACATCAATGTGTGGTTGCTGGGGGTTATGGCCTGCAACCCAGGCATGTACCCTGGCTGGGAATCGAACCTACGACACTTAGGTTCCCAGCCTGTGCTCAATCCACTGAGCTACGCCAGCCAGGGCTAGACCATTTCCTTATTTATAAATACGGAAAATAATAGTACCTATTGGGGCTGCTGGGGAAGATAAAATGAGATAGTATCAGTTGCTGGTACATGTGCTCCATAGCCAGTTTTAATTATTTTAAAACAGTTAATGCATAAGTATCAATTCATGGTTAAGGCTGAATAATATACTAACAAAAACTTCAGAAACTTAACAGAGGTGAGTGTGCATTTAAATGTGAATTTCTATAATACAGATACAAGAATTTGTCTTTAGTTCCTGGCAGTTCAACTATGAGCAAACTGTCAGGTACATTTCTCTTCTGGTACACATTTTACATGAGAAAGGCTCCCAATGGCAGTTTTTATTTCAGTGAACTGAGTGTCTATTATGTTGTAGGAATTGTCCAAAGGTGTGGAACTATGAAGATTGTATGTTCCATTAATGAGTTTTCAGTCTGCTGGAGAGTCAGGCACACGCAGATAAGAATATAGATGAGAAAAATGCATCTGATGAGGTGTGTAGTACAGAGATGTGGCATTAGTTAAAGCATCAGGGAACGCCTCCTTGAGATGATAAATAAGATTTGACTAGGTGAAAAGAATAATTAGGACTTTGTAGGCACAAGTAAGATGGTTTTAGTGTTATGGGAAAAGAACTACAGAACTCGATGTGATTTGTAACAGGGGTCAGAAACTGAAAGTCCACTGCTACCAGGAGCCACCAGGAGCCAGGATCTGGATACTGCGGTAACTTACTGGGGAAGAGGCTGTCACCTCCTTGACCCCAGGCACCATGGGAACTGCAAATGGGATAGAATCTCACTGAGGAGGCTGCAGTTTGGCTCAGGAGCTGTAAGCTCTGGGGGAGAAGAGAGACAGTGAGGGCAGTGCTGGCTGCAGAAATAGCATGGCAGGAGCAGGCCGGCCTGAGGCTGACAATCACTGGTGGGAGCAGGGAGAGCACCCTGCCACCACTCCATGTTATAGTATTGCTGTGGGATTCTTTCCAGCACCATCCAGGAGAGATCCACTGAGAAACTTTAACTAAAACTGCCTGAGGCTCTATCAGGCTGTGGCCAGACCTGACCAAGACGTTGTACTTTTTGTGGAGGGGAGCATGAGGAGAACAGGCCCCCCAGGGTTCAATGCTACAGTGAGGGGGCCACACAGGAACTCCTCTTAAAAGAGCTGAGGCAAGACTCAAGACCTGGCAGGGACCCTGTGCTCACATGCACATGCCAGAGGCTGAACACCTGAGATTCACTGCAACCAGGCAGGTCACCTCACAAGCATGTGTGCCCAACCCCCAACTGCCAGATTACAGGCTCTGCAGATCACTGAGGCCAGGCTCAGGAATATCTGCTCAGTGTGTATCTGCAGGGGAAAGCTAAAAGCTCTGAACACTAGAACACTGAACACTGTGTTCTAGTGTTCACTGTGAACACTGAAACAGTGAACACTGAACACTCTGAACACCTTTCTACCAAACACTAGAGCTACATTCTTCCTTGGGCCATGATCCACTGAAACCAGTAGTGCAGAGAGATTAGATACAGGTGCAACATGGCGGGGTTCAGGTCCCCCCCCACGCAGCCTCTGTGCCTAAACAGAGCAACTGTCTGTGCCAAGCAGAAGGAGCTGTCCCTTTTACACAGATTGGCTTCTCACAGGAAACAGACAGATAATTCACCAGAAACCACACATTATTGGAAAAAATCTGGGATAGAGCAAGTCATGTGGTGAAGGGGCAGGGAAACACTCCCATCATCTTCCCTGAAAACTGAAGGGCACCCCCTGGGGATAACCCAGGGTTCCCGTCCCCACGATAGCACTAGAGGTCCCCTCTGAACACAGGTGGAGAAGGTACCGGCAGTCCTCTCTGGTCATTAAATGAACCATTCCTGGGCCCTGGGCTGATGGGAAGCAGGCAGGGCACAATAGTAGGGACCAGCCAAAATTGAAGGTGACAGCCACAGACTGTAGATCATTTGTAGTCTTGAACAGGCTACCTAGAGCCAGGCTAGGACACCATCTGACATTACCAGGGGCGGATCCAGAAAGAGAAGACAGAGGTAAACACTGGATTCTATAGAGATGAATTCCACCATGGTCTTCATTATTTGCGTTATTTTCTCTCCTGTATAGCTTTTTAAGATTCATTTCTTTTCCTTCAAGTTTGTGCCTACTATTTCACTAGTTTTTTTATTTTACTTTACTTCTAATGTTTTATTTTGCTCCTCCCTTCTCTTACTATATTTTACCTTCTTCCTTCCTCTTACTCTTGCTTTAAATTTTATTTTTTTCTCTGGCTACAACTTGTTTCTATTCTGCACCATTACTATTTCTCCCCTCTCCAGCCTCTCAAAACCATTTTTCTTGTCACTAGTCATCTCACATTCTTTTTCCCATTCTTAAAATGCCATTATTCTCACTCCACCTTTACGAATCTTCACTAGTTGACTGTTGATATGGTGGTTATTGTGGTGTCTCTTCAATTGTATTCTTAGATCTTCACTACTTTCATATTTCAAATCTTGAATTTTAAAAAAAATCTTAAAATTTTACCCTTTCCCTCTCCTACTCCATTTTGCCTTCCCCCACCCTTTCTTTGTTTTAAATTTTGCTTTTTCCATCTTAGCCTGATTTTCATTCCTCACTCTTAGTATTTCTTCTCTATTCTCTCAAAATCATTTTTTCTTTCCTCTAGATATCTCATTAGCTTTTCTTTTTTTCCTTTCTTTCCCTCCTTCCCTCCCTCCCTTCTTATTCCCATTTCATCGGTATTAATCTTTGCTCATTTGTTGTTGGTATTGCTGTGGTGGATCTTTTCCTCCAATTTGGTTCCTGATTTTTTCATTACTGTTTAAAATATATTTTTTCTTGAACCTCATACTATACTTTTCCCTTTTCTTACTCCATATTGTCTTATTTCTCTCCTTTTAATTACGATGTAAATTTTATTTTCTCTACTTTGTTCCTATTCCCTACTCTTATTTCTCCTTCCTCTACCCTCTTAAAATTATTTTTCTTCCAGTTAGTCATCTCATATTTGTTTTCCTTCCTTATAATAGTCAATCTCCTTACACTTTTATTATTATTTACTCATTTGCTGTTGATAGTGTGGATATGGTGGAGGTTGTATGTGGCATCATACAAAGCATGGTGTGCAGTGTGACTCTCAGACAGGATGCAGAGGGAAAACCCCACCAAAGAATGAGTCTACAACAACCAAAACCAAATTACAACAAGAGACAACACATAAATGGCATAAAGGGCATCCCAGCAGCACCTAGTGCAGAAGATCAAGGGGGCTGCACC